TCAGGAGCTAGCCTCCATGCCCCGCTGTCACTCACGCACTGTCGTCTTCTTCCCTAGACATGCTTCAGCTCATCAACAACCAAGACAGTGACTTCCCTGGCCTGTTTGATTCCCCCTATGCAGGGGGCGGGGCAGGAGACACAGAGCCCACCAGCCCTGGTGCCAACTCTCCTGAGAGCTTGTCTTCTCCTGCTTCCCTGGGTTCCTCTCTGGAAGCCTTCCTGGGGGAACCCAAGGCAACACCTGCATCCTTGTCCCCTGTGCCGTCTGCATCCACTGCTTTAAAGATGTACCCGTCTGTGCCCCCCTTCTCCCCTGGGCCTGGAATCAAAGAAGAGCCAGTGCCACTCACCATCCTGCAGCCCCCAGCAGCACAGCCATCACCAGGGACCCTCCTGCCTCCGAGTTTCCCTCCACCACCCCTGCAGCTCAGCCCGGCTCCTGTGCTGGGGTATTCTAGCCTTCCTTCAGGCTTCTCAGGTAAGGTGATGGGAGGAGACATAGGAAGAGCAGCAGCTCTGGTCTTAGTGGAGGAATTTCCCAGCTTCAGAAGTCAGGTGTCCATCCTGTGGCTTGAGATGCCCTTTGGTGCTAGGCCCAATGTTACTCCTCCCCATTGCCCAGCTGGAAGGTAGTACATTGGCAGGGCCTGTCTTTCTAGGAAATCAGAGGGATAGTTATATGAAGCCTACCGACAGACTGGCTGGAGGGGGTAAAATAAAGCCTGTGCCAGCAGCCTTTGATTTTTGTCTCTGCAGGGACCCTTCCTGGAAATACCCAACAGCCACCATCTAGCCTGTCACTGGCCTCTGCACCAGGAGTCTCGCCCATCTCTTTACACACCCAGGTCCAGAGCTCAGCCTCCCAGCAGCCACTGCCAGCCTCAACAGCCCCTAGAACAACCACTGTGACCTCACAGATCCAGCGGGTCCCAGTAAGTGGGTATGGCCAGGTAGGGGGATGTGGGAGGCCTGACCCTGAAAGCCACTCATGGCGGGGTCCTTCACACTCAGGTCGTACTGCAGCCACATTTCATCAAGGCAGATTCACAGCTACTGACAACTGTAAAAACAGATACAGGAGCCACGATGAAGACGGCTGGCATCAGTACCTTAGCCCCTGGCACAGCCGTGCAGGCAGGCCCCTTGCAGGTAGATGGCCCAGGCAAAAGGGAGACCAGGGGGAGCTGCATATGTATATGTACACCTTGTGACCTGGTGACATGCATCTGACCCTACAGACCCTGGTGAGTGGTGGGACCATCCTGGCCACAGTACCATTGGTTGTGGATACAGACAAACTGCCCATCCATCGACTGGCAGCTGGCAGCAAGGCCCTGGGCTCAGCTCAGAGCCGTGGTGAGAAGCGCACAGCCCACAATGCCATTGAGAAGCGCTACCGTTCCTCTATCAATGACAAGATTGTGGAGCTCAAAGACCTGGTGGTGGGCACTGAGGCAAAGGTATGGCCAGAGGCCTGTGAGACCCAGGCCAGTGTGAGCAGGAAAAAAGAGGGCACTCCCGTCATCAGGAAGTAGGCTTAAGCCAGACCTGGTCTTGGGCATCAACTTGTCTGGGTCTGGGCAGTCCCATTTTCCTGATTAGATTTTATCAAGAGCATCCTGAATAAAGAAAGGGCTGTTCAGAGCTAGAGAGATGGCTCAGTGGTTAAAGCAATGACTGCTCTTCCAGAGGACTCAGGTTTAATTCCCAGCACCCACAGGGTAACTCACAACAGTCTGTAACTAGAGTTGCAGTGTAGCTGACACCCTCACACCAGTGCACATACTAATTAAATAAAAGGGGAGGGCAGGGCTTTTCTGGGCATTGATGATGTTCTGGTGATGAAGCACAACAGTCCTATCCTGGAGGAACTGATACCCTAGTGGGAGTGGTGGGTGCTGAACAGGACAAAGAAGTCTTGTGTGGAGGGAAGAAAGCAGAGAGCAGGAGGGCTAGTGAAAGCGGAAGGTGTGACTTGGGTGGTCCAGGAAGGTCTAGCAGTGAAGAGCTGCAGGAAGGAAGTGAGCGGGACGTGAGGAGGTAATGATAATGACAGCACTGGAGAGATGCTGCTGTATGTACCCCACATAGCAGCTAACCTCTGCTCTGAGCAGTAGGTGCTGTTAGGAGACAGCAGTCTAGGCAGAAGGAACAAGTGCAAAGGTCCTGAGGCAGCTGTGATGCAAAGCAGCTTTGTTGACTGCTGACCTGTAGCCAAGTCTGCCTGGTTTTCTGAGCCCTCTCCCTCTCCTTGCAGCTGAATAAATCTGCCGTCTTGCGCAAGGCCATCGACTATATCCGCTTCTTACAGCACAGCAACCAGAAGCTCAAGCAGGAGAACCTGGCCCTGCGAAATGCCGCTCACAAAAGCAGTAAGTCCCAGCCTCCCTCTCCATGTCTTAGTTTCTTTTCTCTTGCTGTGGTAAGACACCGTGACCAAGCCAACATATAGACGAGTTTGTTGGGCCTACAGTTTCAGAGGGCAAGTCCATGACCATCATGGCAGGGAGCATGACAGCAGGCAGGCAGACCTGCTGGTACTGGAGCCGTAGCTGAGAGCTCACATGTCAAGACAACCACGGGGCAGAAAGTGATCTAGTTGGGAATAGTGTGAGGTTTTGAAACTTAAAGTCCACCCTAGTGACACACCTCCAACAAGGCTACACCTCCTAAGCTTTCCCTAACTGTTCCACGAATGGGGGGGTCGAGCTTTCAAACATGACTCTGTGAGGGCCATTGTCATTCAAACCATCACACTGATGCAGTCTTCTCTATTCCTGCCCAACCTTGCTTCTGGCTCTGGCCCCTCTTTTAACCCCTCATCATTCTCTTCATCAGATGTACCCTACAATGGCCTCGGCCCATTTTGACCATAACAGAACTATTCAAGTTTTGGGGCCTCGACAGCTCGGCCTCCCTTCCCAGCCCTGTTCCTTCTGCTTGCAGAATCCCTGAAGGACCTGGTGTCGGCCTGTGGCAGTGCAGGAGGCACAGATGTGGCTATGGAGGGTGTGAAGCCTGAGGTGGTGGATACGCTGACCCCTCCACCCTCAGACGCTGGCTTGCCCTCCCAGAGTAGCCCCTTGTCCCTCGGCAGCAGAGGTAGCAGCAGTGGTGGCAGTGACTCGGAGCCTGACAGCCCAGTCTTTGAGGATAGCCAGGTTGGACTCTGCAACATGGTTCCTTCCCTCTCTCAGAGGCCTCACAGTCTTCCCCCTTTTAGCCCTTGTCCTTGGAGCTAGCTGGGCTCTGCCCTCACCTCCCTGCTGTCTGCCCAGTGAGACCCCAC